CCCCATCTTAACATTACTCAAAAAGCATTAAAGGCCTTTCCTAGCGACAGTCAAGAGAATTAACCTTACAGCAAAATACTACTGTACTGAAAAGAGCCAGGTGCAGCTAGGAAAAAACACAAAATGCTCAAGCAAATGTAATCATGAACCATGTCAATGATGCTCAAGATCTTTCAAAAGTAGGTCTGCTTCAGATAACAAGACCAAGCTCTCCTGGACCAGGCCAAGAGATCCATCCTGCCCAGGATTCTGTCCTTTCAGAAAGCCCATAAGTAGGGCATGAAGGTAGAAGCCTTATCTTGTTTGTTCCCACCATTTTGCACTTACAGGTATACTGCTCCTACAGCTGGAGGTTCTACTCAGCTCTGCCCACCTGGTTTCTCCCAAGGACTTACCGGAGGGAAGAGACAGAAGATTTGGGCAGCTTCACTTCTTCTTCACCTATATCTTGCAGAGAGGCCTGGATTCCCGCTTGTATTAGCTCTTCCTCCGTTGGGAAGGCGAAGAAAGGCATGTCCGAAGCCCCGGGGAGGGCTGAGAAGGGTTGCAGAGAGGTAGAAGGAAACAACAGCTGGGATTCCTGGGCTGCGCTTCCATCTGTCCAAGATGGGGAAGGGGGTACCTGGATAGCGACCATCCCTGCCAAGTTGGGTGGGAACATCTCCTGAGCAGGAATCCTGCAGGCCAAGAGGGCAAAGTGAGTCAAACTGGACAAACTGCCTGTGAGGTTGTGAACTGTGCAACCTGGGATTGCCACAAGGCCGAACTACAATCCCCCAACGCCCCAGTGGTAAACAGCAAGGGGTGTTGGGAATTGTAGTCCAGCAATCGTGGAAGGCAGTGGGTTCCCAACTCTTCTGCACCCAGAAATGTGATGCGTGAACACACAATGGAGGAGGTTCATCTCTGCAAGCCTCAGCGCAGTTGGTTCTGTGTCGCCATTGGGTTTTGCCTCTGAGCATCCCAGAAACACCTGACTGCACGGTGGATGAGATGACTCTTTTTCTGATCCATCTGGGCTGAGGAAGACCTCTTTGGAAGGAGCATCACAGGATCTCCCTCACCTGCCTACTTCAGCACATATCCAGACTGCCCTTCACCCCGAGGTTGATCAAAATACCCAGTGGGAAAGAGGGGATGATGCAAAGTCTAGGGCAATGCTTCCCAACCTCAGCAACTTTAGGAAGCATGGACTTCAATTCCCGAAATTCAGGCTGCCTGGGGAATTCTGGGGGCTGAAGTCCACGTATCTCAAAGTTCCCCAGGTAGGGGAGAGCAAATTTCTCCACGTAGTTCCAAAGATACCTTTCCTTTCTGGCTGTGGTCGGGAGGGTGCTGGATGCCAAGGGCCTGACGAAGTGAGGAAGAAAGCATCTGATGTGGCTCCAGCGTGGGATCCCGTCCCACAGTCTTTCCAGGCATCTCTTGGATAGTCCCAAGGAGAACGATGTCCCAGCACAGTCTGAGGTGTTAAGGAGAATCCTGCTTTGCTTGAGAAAACCAGGTTGGTCAACAGCGACTGCAGAGGCAGCAGTTAACAGGAGCTCAGGACCCATTGCTCTGGGCAGAATGGGAAGCGATGCTTTGCCACGTCAAGGGGCAGGGACCATACAACGGCTGCCATGCCCGCAGTGGGCATATGCATGTTGCACGCCCATGTGTGTGCTCCTAGTCCTTTGGATTCTTGATAGGCAGGACACGTATTTAAAACAGAAACTCATTTTATTAACCTGCTGCATCTCTTAAAGCCACCAAATTGGTTACAACTGCCCCCTCCTCGCTTTTCACCTACGATATTCTGCAATACACATTTAAACTGCTCCAACGTTTCCCAATCTGGTGACCACCAGATGTGTTGAGTGAAACCCCTCACTGTTCAGACTGGGGATGATGGGCATTGTAGGGAGTGCTGGAGAAGTCTCGATTTATTCTGATTTATTTATCAACCCATATGTCACCTCTATCACCAAAGTAACTCTTGGTGGTTTCCATGAATGGTGAACAACAGACTTTTCAAAGAGAGATTCCCTTCCGAAACCACCCAATGCAATTAGCAAATTTGATTCTGTCAGATTTGGACCCAATAAATCCAAGAAAATTTCTAATTTGCTGCAAAAAGCAACTGTACCACTTCCAGGCCTAATTTACATGGTTGATCTCACTGTTCCTAGGGATCTCCAGAGGCTGGATGCTCAAATTAATTAAATTCAATTAATTTGTGTTCAGATTAACTATGGATGCATTATGCTCCTCTTGACCACTGGATTAAATCTAACATTCTTTCTTTTCTGAATACAGGTAGTTCTTGCTTAATAGCCACTTGATCAGTGCCCATTCGAAGTTACAACGGCGCTGAACAAGGGAACTTACGACCAGTCCTCAAAGTTGCAGCCACTGCAACATCCCTACAGTCACATGATTGTGATTCAGGCACTTGGCAACTGGCCCAGAATTACGACAGTCGCAGTGACCTGCAGTCATGTGATTGCCATTTGTGACCTTCACAGCAGGCTTCCAACAAGCAAAGTCAATGGGGAAGCTGGCAGGAAGTCAAAAGTCGCAGTCATGTGATGTCTCATTTAATGACTGGTGATTAACTTAAGAATAGCAGCTGGAAGTGCCAGAACTGCCATTATAAGTCGGTGTGGTCACATGATTTTCCACTTTATGACCATGCCACTTACCAACAGAATTCCAGGTCCCAATTACCATAGTTAAGCAAGGACTACTGTATGCTCACACTCTCTCTCTGTCTCTCTCTCTCTACACACACACACACAGGCACGCACACAGAGCCCACAAGGGTATATCAGTTGTACTGGTGACATTTTCCCCCTTGGATACAAAAGCCCACAAAGGGTGCTGGCAAATGTGGGGCCCCTCCATCTCTTATAGCTCTTGAAAAAAAAAAATTGTTTTTCCTTTACCAAAGAAATCATCAACAAATCCCTTTAAAATTTTGGAGGGCTGCCAATGAGTTGGGGACCCTATGGGTCACCAAGTGGCCTTTCTCTTCCAGTATCCCACCCTCAAAGCCCACCTTCTTGGAAAGGATACAGGCTAGACCTGTGAGCAGCCCAGAGAGGTGCAGGAGGAAGGGAGAACGGGGGGACAGGATCTCCCCAAGCCCGAAGAGCAATCCAGCCAACAGAGCCACGGAGAACCACCCCGAGCGCCTTCCGTGGCACCCCAGCAGAGCCAGGTGGACAGGGATGTAGCCACTGACGGCGGCGTGCGGTTCAGCTCCCCAGAGTCCAGCAAGGAGGAGGTACAGCAGGGCTGAGAGGGCAGCGCCCAGCCCGGCGGCCTGGAGGTAGCCAAGGGTGCCTTGCTGCAGCTCTCGGTGCCAGCCCAGCAGCGGGAAGAAGAGCAAGCTGGTGGCAAGGAGGGGGGCGTTGGCGTGGCACAGGCAGTAAGTCACCAGGCGGAAGGCTGCAAGAGAAGAGTCACTCTTATGCCAGTGATAACGCCACATTTTAGGTGCCCCGTGGCCCCTGAAGTAGATTATGGTTAATTACAAATACAATCCAACGGAAGCCCAAAAGAAATCAGTAAGACTCCAGAGCAATTAAGTATTTATAAGCAGGCACGAGTATTTTATGCTGGGTATGCGCATCACGCTAAGCCACAATGGGATCTGCATGATGCAGGCTTGGTGTGACTGGTGGATCCAGCCCCTGCCTCTGCCACTCGTTCACCAAACCGGTTAATACAAATGATGGCTTAGCAAGGTTCGTATCAGCAACCTAGCTATTGGAAGGCATAACCAAGCTTAGGGCTTCGTGTTATGGATAAAGGCAGCGGCTGCAGCTTGTCCAACAAGGGGTGGTGAAAACTACCCATATCTTAGGCTGCAGCCATAATATGGTTTGCAATGTGTGAACTCAACCAATGACATCTTATTTTCTGGGTTATGCTTCCCGCGTGTCCCTCTTACTCCATAACTGCACATTTGGAAATGCAAAGACATTCATTTGGTGAGAAAAGAAACAGTGGGATGACCAGGATCTTCCATGGAAAGCAAAATCCTGAAAAGCCACAGAAATTAAACGGATCTCCCCTGAGCTGGCAGCCCCGATGTATGAGACACCCATCATCCCCAGCCAGCCTGCACTAGCAGTAATTCAAGGCACCGAGTGAGGAAAGTCCTCTAGCCCAACCGTGGAGGTTTCAAAGAGGGAGACTAACCTTGAAAAGGGCTGGTTAGCAAGCCGGGCGATAAAATGAAGCTTTCTTCTACCCCCGTCACCCAGAAGAGGCCGAGAAGCAGCATCAAGATAGAGGAAGCGAGCGGGGGATGCCGGACCCACCTCAGCCTCTGGATTAGCATGCCCCTAAGAGAAGAGAGGGCTACGTTAATGGACCGGTGCAGTTCAGCCACTTGTTCAGCTTTTAATTCTCAAGAAACCTGATAAAATCGATGCTGCCACAGAGGGATTAAGGGCCCCAGTCAGAAATAATCTCGGTCCCACAGAGGACAAGGACAGTTTGGGCTCATCACCGCTGCTCCCAGTTCAAACAACCAGGAGATACTTTAATTTTCTGAGTAAATATCAGAAGTTCAACCCTGCAGCCTGGGCTGGAATCGTTATTCTCGTATGAAGCGTCCTTATCAGCTACGCTGCCTCAAGACAGAAGCTGCAACCCAGCAATTTACGGGTTTTTAACCATCCAATGATGCCGGGGCAGAAGAGGAATTTTCGCAGTGAATAGCGCACTTCAGCCTGCACGCTCCCAACCGTCCGCTACAATAATTATCCAGACGATAAACATGGAAGAGCAATGAAAAGGTGGCTATAATGCACCTTTGCATACAGCTGAATTCTATGCAAGGGAGGACCGCTGCCTTGGACCGCTGGCTTCGCTTAGCTGCAGTGGATGGTCGGCTGTGGGGTCTGCAGCAAACTGCGATGACGCCAAAATGACAACGCGCATGTTATTATATAAGCATGGCAATTATGCACGGATGCAAGCACATCGTATTTGCATGATTACATCTCTGCATATGTGTTTTCGCCCCCTCCTGCAGAGGCCCATGCTGGACAAGGCCTTAGCTGGCTTTGACTAATCTCAGAAAGTTTAATTAGGGTTGGACCTGGTTAGGACTTAGGGTGATCCCCAGGATAGGAGATGACCAGGAACGCACAGGACTGTAGGTTAGACAGGGAAATCAATTCAGCTCACTCTGTTCACTATTTTGACCATGGGTTGTAATGAACAAAATGTAATTTAAAAAAAAATCACATAAGGCAGCAATGGCAAAAACTGTGTGCACTGTTGCCAAAGTAATCAACAGGAGCTGAGTTGGTCTTCAGGAAGTCTTTATTTATTTACTAAATTTTTGATTACGTGCCATCCAGTCAGGGTTGACTCTTAGCAACCACACAGGTAGATTTTATCATCAGTCATTTAATATCTTCTATCCGTGGGGTTTTCTTGGTAAAAATACAGGAATGGTTTACCATGGCCTTCTCCCACACTGTATGTGTTGATGACTCTGCTATTGTCGCTAAAGTGGTCATGGGTTTCCAGCATCTTCCTATCTCGCTGCTGCCCCACAGAGGGGCCTGCTTGCTTTAGCTGGGTGGCTGGGATGACCTTCACACCTTGGATGAACCCCTGCTGGGAATATCTACTCTTGGCCTACACTCCTGACGTCCTTCTATCATTCCTCCCAGGAGCACTCTCCGCCACAATCGCACTGAAGCAGCACACCAGGACTTGGGGGGGGGGATTGAATTTTTACCCTGCCTTTATATTTGGTCAAGCCAAGGTGGCGTACATCTCCAATGCTCCTGCCTCATATCTTCCCCACAACAACCCTGTGAGGAGGGTTGGGCTGAGAGAGAGAGACTGGCTCAAAGTCACCCAGCTGGCTTTCACACCTATGGGAGGATTAGAAGTCACAGTCTCCTGGTTTCTAGCCCAGCATTTTAGCCACTACACCAGACAGTGTCCCTCTACATCCTTAGAGGTACCAAATTCTCTGTAAGACTGCCCTCCACGTATGAATTAATGGTCTCCAGAAGTTCTCACTGTCTCATCACTACTAAAACACAGATCCACCCATACAAGCAGATTTGCAGTAGGTTCTAAATAAACACAACATTTGCTCGGCAGAAGGCATCATCGCTCAGTTGTGGAAACTGCCATAGATGTAGAGCGACGGTTGCAATTTCTGAAAATACAAATGAAACAAGTTTTAAAAAATAGAAAGTTCAGATAGGAAGGTAGGTACCTAAAAGATGAACTCAAGGGTTTGGCTGCACCAGCTGAAAAAGGCCACACACCAGAAGGCACTGAAGAAATCAAGACATTTCTGGAAGAGGTTTTCGACCTGTAAAAGGTGAAATGTGACATCAGGTCCCCATGTTCAAAAGCAGTCTATTTGCAACAGGTACAGGGTGGGAAGAACTGCTTGGGAATTCCCAGAAAGCTAGATTAAGCACATCCGGTTCTTATCAATTTTCCAAGCTGCATCTGAGTCTTATCATCCCCCCCCCGCCTGCAATTAAAATCTCCAAATGTCTCCCGGACGCCCCACCTGCTCTTGGCTTTGCAGCTGTCCACTCTGGGACTTCCCCTTTCTGCAGCGCTCCGTGCCCAGGGCCCAGGCAGAGTTGCTTGCAAACAGCGGGAGACCCCTCCCCTTTTATTTCTTTCACCCCGCTCGGGAATGGCTGCCCCAGCCTGGCTGGCAGCTCACTGGCTTTGGGAGGGCGAAACCGTCGCCATATTTTGGGTGGCAGGCGGGCTTGCGGGG